AGCGTGTGCAGGGTCCCCAGGTGATGACCCGCACGGGAGCCCCCTGAGGTCTGGGGGGGTCTCCCCAGCCTGATGTCTGAGGGCACCCTCCCGCCCAGGGTACTGGGAGGTGAACGGCTTCGGCCTCTTCGGGATCTACAAGTCGGACTTCGACCGCGTCGGAGGCATGAACACCGAGGAGTTCCGGGACCAGTGGGGCGGCGAGGACTGGGAGCTCCTGGACAGGTGACCCTACCCTCCTGGAGGCAGGCTCCCCATCTTCCTCCCTCACCCAGGGCCTGCGCGCCTGCAGACAACCTGTGCCCACCCTGGCCCCGGAACCACTCCCCACCCCAGGGCCCTGCCACAGCACAGCCCTGCCCGCCCCCAGCCCTGACCCCCGTCTCCACCCAGGGTCCTGCAGGCGGGGCTGGAGGTGGAGCGGCTGCGCCTGAGGAACTTCTACCACCACTACCACTCCCGGCGGGGCATGTGGGCCACGCGTGGCCGCGGCCGTGGCCACAAGGGCTCCCAGGCGGAGGGAGTCTGAGGGAGGACACCCGCCCGGTCGCTGCTGCGGTCCTGAGCCTGGTTCCTGGGACCCAGGGCCTCACCACAGGGCACTGCCCGCCCCCCTGTGCCAGCCCCTCTCTGGCTCCCCCAGGCCGCAGCCCCTCGCACCCCTCCCCAGGGGGCCTGCCTGGACACGAGCAGGTCGGGCGGCTCGTCCCCACACTCTGCGATGATTTCTGTGAAATTTTGCCGTAGCGATGCCATTGTTTTCAGGATTTCCGTCTGTTCCATTTTTTATTCAGAATGAAATGAAATATTTTTTTTAGTTCTGACTGGTCCTCCGCCTGTCTCTCTTGGGGGGACAGGTGGCCTCGGCGACGCCTGTGAGTGGCCCGGGCCCTGCTCCTGATGGCCTCTCTGACCCGCAGCTGCAGTGGTCACGCTGACCCCTCCCCCACCCCCAAGACCACTGTCCCCTTCGCCTCCTCTCCCTCGCAGCCTCTGGGTGGGGCCGGGAGGGGAAGGGCCTCGGACATCCTCTCTTCCACTCTCTCCAGAAATCAGTGCGCCCTCGCTGGTGTGGCTCCGTGGATAGAGCGTCGGCCTGCGGACCTAAGGGTCCCGGGTGCGACTGGGTCAAGGGCACGTGCCTCGGCTGCAGGCTCCTCTTCGGCCCGGGCCCCGGTCGGGGCCCTTGCAGGAGGCGACCCATCGCTGCCTCTCTCACATCGATGTTTCTCTCGGTCTTTCCCTGTCTCTCCCACTCTCTCTAAAAGTCAGTGGGAAAGTGTCCTCGGGTGAGGATTTAGGAAAAAAGGAAAGGGAGCGGTCGCACTTGGCCGCCTGGGGAGCCGGCAGGATTAGACGGAGTGGGACATTCTCCACGCCCGCCTGGTGCTGGGCAGTCCTCATGAACCCAGCGAGCGCGCGCACCCTCATCACCCATTTTCTCGGGACTCTGCCGGGGGTGGCATCGGCTTTCACTCCTCCGGTGCCGGGGGGAGGGGAGGAGAAACCCTGCCGGGAAGGGGACCAGCTGCCTATCCCCCAGCTCGCTGCCCCCCCCCCCAGGGCCAGGCCACCCCTCCCACTGGCCTCTGCTTCCCTTCGTTCCCGCTCCTCACCGAGGCTGCTGCTCCTTTGAACACAAATCTAACAGCCGCTCCCCTGCTGGAAAGCACCCAGGACGCCACTGCTGCTCCTACTCGGGGCCTGGCCGCGGCTCCAGCCACCATTCCATTCTGGGTCCTCCCGGGCCAGGTGGGTTCCTGCTGGGGCCTCCGCCAGCCCCTCCCTCTGCCTGAGCCGATAAAGGGTCTCAGAGGCTCCCGGCTGCCCCCCGTCCTGCCAGGCAGCCCTGCTGTGGGCCACTGTGCTCGGTCACTGTCTGTGCCCCCCCCGCCGCAGACCCCAACAGGGGGCTCCTGTGAGAAGCCGTGTCTCATGGTCACGCACACCTCTCCCAGCGATGACCGGTGCTCAGGATGAGTGACAGGTGGGCGGGTGGGGGTGGGAGTGGATGAAGGTACCACCCGGGGCCTATGAGGGCCGATACCTTTCAAGTACCTTCCACACCAAAGGCACAAGGTGGAAGGAGGGGGTCCCCGAGGATGCCAGGTCAGGGGGCCCCACCCAGGGTCACCGCGGGTGAGGGGCGGGCCGGGGCGAAATCCAGGTAGGCTCCCTGGAGAAGGCAGGGACCGGGGTGGCCTTGGAGGGAGCCCAAACCGGCAAGAAGGCGGGAAGTCCGGAAGGTTTGGGAGCATGGGTGCGGCACAAAGCGCCCGGATTCCCAGAGTCAGGGCCCAGAGGCAGCAGATGCTGCGCCTCTGGGGGCCTGGAGGGCAAGCTGCGCCCCAAACCCGGTCCGGCAGCT